AAAAAAAAAAAAAAAAAAAAAAAAAAGCGGCATTAGGGTTAACTGAACAATGCCAACGGCAACCCGTGTTTAAAACAAAGAAAGACCAATGCCAAGCAGACTATGCAGTGCTGCCTGTGGTACTCTTTGTTCTGTCTGATAAAAGCCTTGCATTGTATGATGTAAGCAGTCTTGATAACTTAAAAACAGATCTCAAATCTTAATCACTCACTTGAACTCAATTTCACATTCTACTCTGTGAGTAAATAACATTACACAGCATTTAAAAAAGAAGCAATGGAGATAATAGGCCCAAATCCTTTGGGCTACTTCGCCTCCCTCCCCTTGGGAATGGACAGAAATCACACTCAACACACACCACTACCAATTACCGAAATCAAAACCAACGTGGCCCAGGGCACGATGTGATATAAGGAAGGAGGCTGATTTGCGCGCGCGCGCGGTGATTTTTCGAGCTACTATATCATTGGTTCCAGGGAATCATGGCTAACCTTGGGTGCTCCAGATCCTGGGATGCTTACAATCCTGTCACCGATCTTACTCTCAATGACTGGGAAAGCGCTAACACACCAGGAAAAGATATTGACCGCAAAACAGCGGAATACTACCTCTGCGTCCACCTTGACCTGTGGCGAAACGACGAAAGCCCGATAGCAAAGAACATCCGCTATAAAGTCCTCCAAAAATGCTTCACCCACGGTACTAATACCATTCCATCCGCGCTTGAAAGAGAAATGCTCCGAATAGCACAGACCTACCCAGATCTCATGAAAAAGCACGATCCCAAGATGATAGTGCTTTCAAGCATCCAGCACATCGTAGTATGCACATACAATAAAGCAAAGCGCGGCGGGTTGATTTCCTCAAGCACACTTAGCTACAAATGGGATTTCAGGGCTTGGAATATAGTGGAGAAGTATCTTTCCTGGGCTTTGGGGTTCCGCCGGTTGGGTCGGAGACGTTTTGAGTATGTGGAGGATTTCGGAGATGAGGAGGATTGTACTTATGAGCAATTCAGTACTAGCGTCTATCGTGAGTGTTTGAAGAGAGCGGAGGGGTCGCAGTTGACAATGGTAGGGAGGTTTGTGGAGGGTTGCGTGCGCACTAATCATGGAGTTCATCCAAAGCATAACCAATAGAGTCGGTGAGATATGTACCCATTGAATGCTCATTATTTGCGTTGTTCGAATAGTACTATAAAAATTTTGCAGAATAGGAAATATGCAAAGACAATAAAAACAGCCACCCTCATCCGGATTCAAGAATACGTTCCTTTTAACTTAAGCCTTTTGAAGCTGTATGTTATGATCTACTGCCTACTTGTTGATAAGAGCCCGAGTCAACCAATGACGTAAGAAAATAAGCAGAGACGGAGATGGCATTTCAGATAGAGAATTGATAGTCCATCAGGATTTACTGACACATCATGAAGCAAGCTCAAACAAAACTATTCTCTGACCAAACAATCCCCAAAGAAACAACAACGGAAATAGAACCACCACCACCACCACCAACATCATTAGGCCACTTCAACCGCTTCCCCCTTGAAATACGCGAGATCATATGGGCCAACCTGCTCCATGCAGGAGAAGATGGCTGGTGGGGTCGAAAACCCCATAAAACAGGCCTCTCCATCCTCCGCGCAAGCAAATAACCTCCGTCGCGAGCTTCTCAAGCAACGCTTCACATACAGCACACCAACAAAAAACCCTCCATCTGCATTCGAACAAGAAATGCTCCGCATAGCAAGATCATGCCCCGACTTGATGGAAAAATACGACCCCGAAATGAAAATCCTCACAGCAATTCAACGCATTGTAGTATGCGCCTACAACCAAACTATCCAAGGCGGCATAACCCCCTCCTCTACTCCAAATATCAACTGGAACCACAGGGCATGGGAGATGGTCGATGGACATTTCTTCTGGGAAGCGGGTGTGTCACCGATTGAATGGGATGACTATGAGGATGAAGACGAGCATGAAGAGGCGGCTAATGTTGATCCTCATTATGGGAGGTTTAATTCCAGGGCTTATGAGAAGTGTTTGCAGAGGGCGAGGGGTTCGAGGTTTGTGGTTATGGGATATTCTGTGCAGGATTGGTTGTGGTTGAAGGAGGATCGGGATCGGTAACGTGAGCGGGATTGGGGTTGTTCGAGTTGTGGATTTTAGTAATATGTGGTGTGCTGTATGTTTTTTTTTTTTTTTTTTTTTTTTCCTGTGGTGACTTCTAAAGTCGAAGCTTCTCTCGAAGTAGTGTTTAACTAGAAAATGGTACATTTACTATTAGTACATCGTGACGGTTAGGGCTATCCGATCACCAGCAAAGTAAATTATAATCGATTCCTTTCCAAACCAAACCAAGCAAATAAACCCAGGTCTTCTCTGAGTCCTCGTTAAGTTAAGCATTCTCTTGTTATATATCTGACATTAAATTCGCCGTACTTGATAGAAAGTATATGATGAACTATGATGCCAACCCCAACTGTCAACCTAAATAGGCAACTAACAATCCCCAAACAGCCTCCGATACAAAAAAAATAATAACAACGGTAGTGATGCCTATAACCTTCGACTCCCAAAGCCATCAACGTAAGCAAAACAGGCAGAAAGCGTGGCATAAAACCACCTCGCCAGGAACAAACCCTCAAACATTTCTACAACATCTCTGATCCTATTCACTACACAAGCAGCCACGCTATATACAAACAAACAAACAAATATAAAGCGAGTGAGTTTACATAATGGTAGTAACCGCAATCATCACTCCAACCACACTCCTAAACATGCCACCCAACACCCACTCGCGCACCTACGCCCACCCTGTCAACGACAACCCCAAAACAAACACGGACATCCTCCACGCCAACCGCGCCTTGTCCAAGGAGATTTCAAACACTATGCCCACCAAGACTCGTGTGGAAATCGAGCTGTCTCCTCTCGCGTGGGAGTGGATGAGAATCAGCTCCGGCACGCAGCACTACCAGCCCGCGAAGAGGGTTATCGCTGATGTAAACAATGCCCGTGAGCAAGGGCTGTATGATCTACCATCCCAGCGGATCGATGAGGTCGTGGTGAAGCTTTATGCGCCGATGAGTGATAATCCCGGACAGTTGTTTATTCTGTTCGATAAGGTGATTAATCTCGTTGATATGCTGCGTCGTGCACCTGCTATTCAGAAGATGAGTATCGTGCTTGAGACGCTGGATGGACAGGAGTGGCACCATGAGCAAGTGACTATTGGTGGTGTGAAGGAGAGCTTTTTTGTGCCGTGGGCGGATGATTGTGATATAGTTGTTGTACTATTCTGCAGTCTGAAGAATGTTGGGGACGTTTCTGTGCGTGGGCACTCGAGGGAGTTGGAGCGGTTGATTGACTGGAAGGTTATCGATTGGGCTGTTGGTGTGGTTCGGGAGAAGTCGTGGGAGAAGTACGTCCCCGATCCCACTAGGGCTCGGGCTACGCGTCGGTTTGATACGACTACTTACTACGCTTCCTACACCCACCGACCTGATCGATCTACGCCGGGTACGGACGTCGACCGGAAGGTGGCTGAGTACTGCCTACGCGTCCATGTAAATCTCATGCGACATGACTTCCGCGACACGGGCTGCCACCAACGCCGTGAACTCCTCAAACAATCCTTCATCTACGGTGGAAAATCCATGAACACCCCGCCCTCCCCCTTCGAACACGACATGATTCTCATCGCCGAAGAATACCCAGACCTACTGAGAAAGTACGACCACGCAATCGAAGTCTTCCTGCACCTGCAACGCATCGTGGTCTGCGCGTATGAGCGCACCAAACCCGGCACCCATAATGACACGAATATCGTTACTCAGTTTTACAACTGGGATGAGGCGGCCTGGGAGCTTGTTGTGAGTGCTTTTGGGGATCCGCTGCCGAATATGGGGTCGTGGGTTTATAAGGAGTGTGCTGCGGAACTGGGGAGTTTCGTGGATTATAATGAGTGTTTGGGGAGGGTAGAGGAGGAGGGGAAGAGTGATTGGTTGGTGGAGGTTGTGGGGGTGGGACAGTTTTTGCAGGATTGGGTGCGCGAGTTTGTGTATGGGGAGGATGGTGAGGATGAGTACGGTGAGGCGTATGATGAGGAGAATGTTGACGAGGAGGATGAGGGTGTTGAGAGCGAGGATGGCGGTGAGGATGAAGTTGAAGAAGATGAAGAGGAGAAGCAGGGTGAAGATGTCGAGGAGGAAGATAAAGAGGATGAGAGCGTTGAGAACGAGGGTAAAGATGGGGAAGTTGATGAGGAAGTAGGTCTTCGTGACGAGGATGACGGGGATGACGGGGATGACGAGAGACAGGACGAGGCCAAAGATGAGGAGGCGCAAGATGAAGAGAACGTTGTCGAGGACGACAAGAAAGAGGACAATGATCAGGGCGAAGATGAAGATGAGGAGGGTGAAGCCTACTACGAAGACGATGACGACTGGGACTTCTGTGAGTGTTGTGCTTAGATTGAGACATACGGAAGAACCACAGTACGAAGTAGCTACTATCACACCATACAAGTCTTAAATAAATCACAGATACCCTTGATAGCTCACGAGAATTAGATCGCTATAGGGTTTCTTGCAAGGGCTTAACTAAGACATGCAGAGAACCACTGTCTAAAAATAGCTCAGATAAGATGCTCGAATAAAGAAGCCAATCAGAACCCCGAAGTGTGATCACGCTCCTTCCATATTAAGAAGTGGAGCTGGTTTCCTTTTTGGGCGATGTGCATGTCACTTGATTTTTACATGGATTCAACGTCCGAGCACTTCTCGTTTGTAGATTCTACTTTGAGTGTACGGAGTAGAGAGGAGCAGAGTAGAGTAAGGAGTAAAATGGTTGCCTATAAGTTAATTGTACTGAGAGCGGCGAATGTATATTGTAGAACCGTTACATGTACTCTTAAAGAGTGGATAGCTGTTTTGGGATACATGCGGAAGACCGGCACCGGGGTTGCCGTGGCATGATGTGCACCGTACGGAGTCCGTACTTTCAAAAAAAAAAAATTTGTGCGTTCCTGCCGAGCCTGTTGAGCACTGCAGTGTAGAATCTGGGGAAGCTATATTACGCTACCGTCGCCTGTCAAAAAAAAAAAAAAAAAAAAAAAAAAAAAAAAAAACATCTGATAAGCTACGTATGCGATGGAGACGTGGATACGTTGTCAGGCGGTTGATCCGCAGATTGGCGTTGTCATGGTCGTTTTGGGTATTTTGCACGGGGGTGTATCTAAACTGAATGGATATTAATTGAGGATAGTAAAGTACTTGTACATGTACGGCAGTGTACATTTTTCGTACTATGTACAATACTCCGACAAGCACTGTGTGTTGATTAGTCCATGAATCGTGAACGCGAGTGGTTGTTTTGGCGGTGTCGATCACACGGGAACTCTGGTGATCTGCGCTTTTCTTTAAACAGAGGATGAATCAGACTCTGGAGAGAAACGGCGAGGAACCGCTTCTGAGCACAACGGCTGAAACCTCGAGTGAACAATTACCAGAGAATTAACCGCGGATAGACCCATTAATTCTGTGAATCGTCTGATCAGTCTGCACTCCCCAGCTGAGTGTACTCCGTACTCGGGACTGACTAGCACAGACAGATGGCGTACTCCGTACTTCCTTAAGAGCATCTGTGCATATGCCCGTACCGTACCCGGCTCGTGCTCAGCTCGTGCCCAGCTCGTGCTCGCTCAGCTCAGTTCATAAATGCGAGCACTGCCGTGATGGCTGACATCATTCAACTGGTCCATGGCACCGATTAGGTTCGGCGGAGGAGCTTCGATCCATGGGACAGTCGTCGTATCCAGGGAATCCTATGGCTTTGATACGGTAGCATCGGAGTTGATACTGTAGCGAGCACGGAGCGCAGACGACGGAGTACGCACAGAGCTGTGCGAAATGTCAATGGTCCGGAGGCAAGACAGGTATGCTGTGCAAGTCCGAGGACTGCCCACTCTTATCTCCATGTTCCGAGCAGCCGCGGAGACTGGAGAAGAGGGTCTAACGTTGATTTTTGTACACTGTAATTACAGCGCATTTCCGCAGTGAGTCTTGTTAACTAGAGAGAATATTCTGAACAGTGATATAGTCTGGACAGTATGAATACTCTCCTCTGTCCACAACTCTCAAGGTAATCGAGTCTCAGAGTCGAGTCCCAAACAGGAATAGTGTCGAGTTAGGGGCGGTGGATCCGGCCGGAAGTAGAACTGAACTGTGATTGGTCAATGATTGCACCGATACGACAGTGGGTTCAGGAGAGTATTACATAGCAGTAATTGTAGTAACTAGATTTGTAGAGAGTGATATATTAGAGTAAAGACAGAGGGAGAGGAAGAAGAAAAGAAAAAGAAAGTAATATACCCGTTATGCTGGGTTGTCAGGAACGAAAGTAAACAAATAAGTGTCCTCTGGATGTCTCCCGTCGGCTCCGCTATCACAGTGTGCAGTAATAGTGATAATATGGTGTACTAGTAATAGCAGAAATAATACTGCCACTAAGGATACTATCAGAATAATTATCATAAAAAAAATAAAATAAAGGAAAGGTCGTGGTGACTTTCTCTGTCTACCAGGACTTACTAGTAATACTGGTGTCCCCTATTATCCATCCGCCATCCACCATCCGCCCATCTTTCTCCTCTCTTACACCTCCCCCCTCCTCTCACTTTCTAGCTATCTCTCTTTTTCATTTCTTTCTTTTCTCTTTTTCTATCCTGATTCTATTGTCCTTTTTTTCTTTTCTTTTCTTTTTTTTTTTATCACTTTTCTATCTCTTTTTCTTGTAATTTGTGTCTCTCCACCTCCCCTCCCGACATTGCGCTCTCTTTCTCTCTCTCTCTCCCCCCTTTTCCCTCGTCTCCCGCCCGCCAACCAAACCCCCCAAGGCCAGCAGTGATCGGCCCATCAGTCGCCTCGCTTGAACATTCCTTGACATCTCTTCATTTCGTTCATCTTAATTCATCATCTTCTGTATCAGCCCGGGTGGTGTGCAACGGTCGTACATGGCTCGACAATAACAGCACGTCGCTTTCCGACCATCCTGGAACCTTGCTGTTCCATTTATTCTCTCTCGCCTTGAGGTCGTCGTCGTCTCACCGTTTCATCTTCTCGTTCCTCGTCCATCGTCCCTCGTCCTCTCTTGAACCTGCATTTTTCTCCTCGATTTTTGTCCTACCGCATCCTGTGTTTCGTTTCCTCCCGTTGCATCAATCCTCTTAGGTACGACTCCCTGATAAGACCTTATCTTTTTTTTTTTTTTTTTTTTTTTTTTCTCTCTTTTCTTGCGTGACAGGGAGGCCAAGGGGTTGAGAATATAGTGCAATTGACAGCCTCGTTCACTGCAGTTTGCTGACATTCATCCAATTCTAGACCCTTGATTCCTCCGATTGTCCCTGTTTCGTGTCGATTTCGCTGCGCGGTACCCGTTCGCCTGTCGAGATTCGTCATCCCCTGAATCGTCCCCAAAACACGCGTCCAACCGTCCAACCCTGGGAGGATACGTGGTGGAGGAAACAGCAAATAGAAATCATCAAAAGACGAAAAAAAAAACATCATGGCTGCATTGGTCCAGACGATCCCTCAGCAAACTAGCACGGTTCCTGTGTTGCAGACTCGTCCCGCTTCGCGTCCCGCTTCGTCTTCCTCGCAGCAACATCATCAACAACACCACCACCATACCGCTCGCAATCCCTCCATGTCTTGGAACCCTTATGCCCCGGCGGGCAGCTCTGGGAGCTATCGACCTAATGGTCACCAGGCTGTGACCTCTTACAATACACCCAACCCCCCTAACTCGCAGAACCGTCAGTCCTGGAACCCTCATCTTCGGCCAGAGAACCGTACCATCTCGGCCCCGTCCGCTCCGCCGCTGACGGCTCATGCCGGAGGCTCTTCGCATTCTGTGAATCATCCTGCAGCTGGTCCTGTATCTTCGACGCCTCCAATGCATCTCTCCAAGGACGACTCGGCCATTCCCACCCGCAAGCCCTCATCGGATCAACCTATTCGGCCCCTCTCGACCGTGAATCTCCCCTCAGCCTCGCCCCTGATGAACATATCCTCTCCTACTGTCGCCAAACCTTCGCCAGATCGCTATCGTCGTGGGAATCGACGGGCGGAAGGTGCTGCGGGTGCACAGTCGACCAGTTCCGCTTCTCATCAGTCGGGGTCAAGTGTCGACGATAGTCAATTGGCTTCTCTCCCTGGCCATCCTACTGCCCGGGGGCACGTCCGGGTCTCGAGTGCCGATGATACCTCTCGTGCTGATAGACCGCAGACGGAGCTGGCCAAGAGATATCGACGAAGGAGCTGGGGTAACATGGATAATGCTGGTCTCATTAATCTACAGCTTCATCTGCCTTCCGCATCTCCTACGCCCTCCACCACCGGCCAAGATTACTTTGATCAGACCCGGCCTGCCCAGAACGAGGGAAGCACCCCTTCGCCACAGTCCTCGACTTCTACTGTACGTTTTCTATTCTTCTTCTTCTTCTTCTTCTTCTTCTTCTTTGGAACCCAAACTAACTGGATAGGTTCGTGATGGTGACTCGTCCTCGTCAACTCGAGGCAAGCCCGATGACACACGAGTGAACAAACCCTCGCCGTTATCGCAACCCGTTTCGGCCGACGCCAGTCCTTCCAACCCTCCGACACCCCAAGCCGCTCCCAAGGAGCGCAACATGCCCACGGGCCCCGCACACAGCCCTGCTACACAGCGTGCCGCAGAGTTAGCTAACATTGGCGCCAAGGGACCGGGCAAGTCGCGATTGCGGCGTGCGTTCTCATTTGGAAGTGCCTCTGAGCTGCTCAAGGCCTCGAATAATGCACAGAAGAAGGAAGCACTCTCAGTGGAACAGACCCGGCGGGAACTTCTCAAAGAGGAGCTGGGTGCGGAGCAAGCCGCTATTGCAGAGCAACAGGAAGCCAGTGGCTTGGGAGAGAGTATCTACTCGCATTACCAGGGGCATCTGTTTAACCGTTCCAACGATAATTTGTCCGTTTCCTCTACCGCTTCGTCGGCGTCAGTAATGCTGCGCAAGATGGGCAAGGGTATGAAGAAGTCGACACGATCGTTGGTCGGATTGTTCCGTCCCAAGTCAGTTATGAGCACTTCTTCGACAGACGGCCTTCCCGTGGAGGCTAGCGCCCCACAGGTGTCCATGGTTAATGTCGAGGCAGACCGTAACAGTGTTGCGGTTAATGCTGATCCCCAGGATCTTCCCCGCGGGGGCACGGTCTTCCCCAAAGTGGAACCGAATTCCCAGGAGGCTGGAACTGGTGCGAGCGGCGCAAGCTCGGATGGATCGCGGAAGAGCATCATGGGAAGTGACAACGAGCGGGCAGAGGTTCTGGCAGCCGTTAAGAAGGGAATTTTGAAGAGTGAGTTGACAAATCAAAGCCACCAAGAAACAAGAGCTAACGGACTATGCAGAAACCCATTCCGAACCTGCTCTGTCGACACCTGCCAAACAGAGAGATGCCAGCAGTGAATCGCCGCACTCGAGTACTCCCAGCACACCCGAAGACCAGTCCGGAAGCCGGGTCAAGATCGCCGGCGAGGATTACTTTGCTGAATCGAAGGGTGCACCGAGTCCCCCAATGGCTCCTAAGAGCCTGATCTTCAGTCCTCGCATTCAGCTCCATGATACATGGACCAGCGGCGAGTACGATCGCCGGGGTGACGTTGCGACCTGCAACCGGTTGACTCCTCTTCTCGCCCAGCAGATCAAGGAGGAGCTTAACAACTTTAAGATGGTGAGTCAAGCCACAGGGTCGAGTCGAGTGACAGCTGCTAACTAATAATAGGAGATGGAGGTTCACGAGACCTCAAAAGTTTACACCCACTTCCTTTAAATTGCAGCATTCGATGGCGTTTCGTTTCATTTCTTCATTTTGCATGGTGTCATTTATCGTTTCCTTTTAGAGCGATCCTTGTTTCTTTCGATTGCGCGTTCGACTCTGTCATGGATGTCCGTTACATTCATGGCGCGGATTACGACCATCGCCTCTCTTGACGCGTTCCTGGGAGTTACGGTGAAAGCAACGTCCTAGTCCTGCTCTACTCGGTCCCAGTTTACCGGGTTATTTAATTCCCTCGTTCCGACCAACGGGGTGTTGAATGTTGGAGATATCCATGCCATTGACCACCGGGATCATTTGGCCTCGATCTATTGCATGCTGATTTTGAGCATCGATCTACCTATCGTTTTTCGGCCCATGACGTACATGGTTTCTTTTTCTTTTACCATTTTAAATAACTGCATCTTTTTTTTCTTTTTCTCTTATTTTTGAAAGTGAAAATTGGTTTCCTTTTTGTTCTTGCACTGGCCGGCTCTTTTGATTCATTCGCTTACTCTTTTTTTTTTTACGAATGGACCCAGTCCCCTGAGTACCCATTTAGATCTCTTATTTTCCTTTTTTTTTTTTTTCTTTCTTGTACTGTGCATATGTTTTCGTGTGTATCCTTTATCACTCTTTTCTTCTCATTTGTTGTTTGCCGGTAATCTTGGGTTGGATGATACGGATCTGGAACGAGAAATCAGCTTTCTCTTCAATTACTTTCTTTTCGCGTTTTGAATTGCGTGAGATATTTTGTGATTAACTGCATCATGGACGTTGTCACCTACTTAGGGTCATACATTACTTCCAATGAGTTCGCCGGTTATGAGCTGAGCTAGGTAGATGAGAATCGCAACTCTATTCGGGATTGCTAGTAGAGTTCAAGTACGGAGTACAAGATATAGTAGAACGGAATGCATCTGGCATCATGCCATGCTTTTATATTGCCCACACCAACTTTGATCCACCGCGAGGACATGAATCCCATAGTTCTGGATATATTCAGACGGACTCAAACCCACAATTGACACCCCACCCCGTGCATATCTCCAGATTTTCACCCCGCATATGGCCCCTTCTCGGTCCCGCGTCCAACAGATGACAGAATTCACCGATGTCTGCACTACCACGGTGGTTACCATATTTCCGGAACCTGAATGTTGTACAATGGATGTATTATTATTGTAGGATCTCGTAGGGCAGTAGGGCAGATGACCCGGTTCCGGATGAAAAGGCACGCCCAGGGTCCAGGATCCATGGTCCAGGGTTTATCCACTAGAGATTCGTGGGGTATTCTTTAAATTGAGCCCTCCCGTCGTTTGCTTAATATAAGCAGGGACAGACAGGGAAGTCCCCTCGAGTCTCATGTTAAACAAACGGTAAACCGGCATTAGACCACCCCGGACTCATAATGCCATGGGACATGGGTCATGGGCCATTATATCGCCATACACGGCCGTAGTTCAGAATTATGCGGGGTTGGTTGTCCTTCGGGCTCGGATTCGGTGGTTTTTTTTGGAGGGTTTGTACTAGCTTATGGACGTTGCTTATTGTACGACGCTTTCCCTGTCCCTGTCCCTGTCCCTGTCCTTGTCCTTGTCCTTGTCCCTGGAGACGAGGGATGATGCTGATAGGAATGTGGCAGCCTGGCTGCTTGTAGTAGATGTGTCTTGCTTAGGGTTTGATGGGATGGGATCTTGGTTCGGTGGAGATAGAGTTATGGGGAATGGTTCTCGGATAAATATTGAGTTTCATGGACTAAGCTTATTTCGCAAAACAAGATGTTGGTCTTCTCTGGTTGCCATATGCCATTTACCTGCGAAGACAAAACAGACGACCAGACTGGTTGTATCTGAGAAAACTCGACCACTGAGTTTGATCATTTTCGCCTGTGGCTTGTTGCATGTCCTGATAGCGTTTCATCAGTAAGACGATGCGAGTAAGACTTCCCTGACGGAAACTTGGGAAGTATTGGTTGACAATCAAACAGGATTTGACATGATAGCCAATTCGAATATATTGAATACAAGTTTTTACCGCCATATCAAATTGTTCTTGGCCCGTGATTTCTGATGTCTGATCGGCGGCTGCGATTCTCCCGCCATTTGTAGACGCACCGCGTCGCATCTACCAAAGATAAAGGTATGCATATACATAGCCGTATACCTTCTTCCGGGAGCAGTAACTCTCGGTTGTGCTTGTGTTATATACTAACGGGATTTCGGTCCCGTCAAGGTGCCCAACGCAATTATGGAAGACATCCTTTTATCTGACAAGTTATCCACGGGCTCCGTGCCTCTACATAAGGCCACGGCCATTTTAAATGGCGCCAATAGGTCGAGTGTATGCTGTATAGTGCATTTTGGACAACCTTGATAGAATGGTTAATGCTGTGACATCCTCGCACGGATCAAAACAAGGAACCTCCCAGGATGAGCATGGTTTTTTTTTTTTTTTGGCCTGAGCTCTCCGATCCAATATTTGGCCTTGGTTGACCGTGTCATGTATCCGACTTGAGTCTTTTGGCTATGGTACAACTTTCGTAAAGTTTTGTGGCATCTGCCATTTTCGTCTTAGGAAAACACAGTTTTCTCGGAACTGGAGGGTCTCCAACGGATGCTGTCGACAACAAACCAGCTACACATGCCCATCAAAATAAAACTTAGTGCCGGATGGCTCGCTGAGCTTATTAATGTTGGTTGAGGGTAGGATTACAACCATTATTCGAGGAGCAGTGGTGAGTGCATTTGCCTGCTAACATTTTTTGAGCAACAGAAGCCTTGCCGAAAATATCCTTATATATAAGCTAACAGTTTGCCAGGCAATTCTTGTGTCGGATGTCTTTCCATTTGCTGTTATTGCTCGACGAAAAGGCTTCAGTCTGGGTCTCTTTTCCCTTGAACATTTTAGTTGCTATTGGGTTGGGGCAATTTCTAGAATATTCTTAATGTTCGAGAACATTTCTCGCACTTGTACCCAAGTAGCGTGGTTACCCCCTTCAACTCTGAATTCTCTTGTTTGTTGAGCTCGTGGAATTTCCCCCCAGCGAAGGTGTTGCGATGCACCACTGGACTATACGCTCTATTAAGAGCCACATATCTACTTCCATTGAGCTAGGATATTGATCTGTTGCGAGGAAGAACCGCCCACCCTGTGCTGGGTGTATGGAGCATCGTACTCGATGACCTATGTGCTTCAAATGAAATCGCCGGTAAATTTGTCGGACAAACAATTGTTATGGAATTGACATCGTTCCGGACAAAGTCGCATTACCAATGCGTACTAATTGGTTCCTAGCAGTTGTTGCATGATTCCCATGCCTTTTTCATATGCGTCAAGATAGCCGGTCATCATACCGACTTCTTGTCGAAATTTGCCTTGACACTGTAAGTATCGATCAAATCTTTGCAATTAGAGCAAGGGCCCCAAATGGTCTTCCAGACATGGCCAGATTCTGTCGCGATAATGCTCAGGTCTGTGCCATCTGTTGAATGAGTATAAACAAAACAAAACGAAGCTAGAAGGGGGATATTCTTGGGGTACTTACGAGAGAAACTTCAGGGGACCATAGGTCTTGGCACAATTGCCGAAGCGCGTTGATTCGGGCTCGTGTTGGTCGATGAGGGGGCTCTTGGCCAAAAACCAGCCCCGGAGCAGGAGACGCTCGTCGTCGACCAGCGAGAATCTGGCCTTTAGAACTTCTTGCTCCCAAGTCCCAGTCAGTTGTGGATTGAACACATATCCGTCCAAGGATGCTCCTAAGAAGAAGTCATCATTTTCTGCCTCTCCTTGGGTCCACATGCGGCTGTACATGAAGGGAGTCCTTGACCCCAGCTGCTTGCACCACCGCGCGTATAATGCTGCCAACGGCAAGTAAAAATTGCACTTAGTTGCGCCGGCCGGTGCTCCGGCCAAAGAGGAAAGAAATAACCCAAGCAGGTCATACAGGCTCCAGTATAACATGCCCCCATGCCATACCTTCTTGACCTGGAATTTCGACACCCACCGCTGGCTCTTTCCTTCAACCACTCCTCGTTTAGCTCCTCCCGGAGTATGTGTTGGTGTGGTTCAAGGGTCAGGTTTCGGAAATCAGCGCCGTTGGGGAAGCTGCACGATATGATCAGGACTGTCAAAAAATGGCCATGAGAGATCAGAGCAGTATAGAGGGCTATTACTCACCTGAGACCCTTAATCTCGTCGTGAATCTGCCCAAGTTCTGCTTTCTGAGTAGCTACGGCCCCGTACATAGGTTTCGGCATAGTTTCCAAAGCGCGATCCCCATGCCCCTTTGGCGATGATCATGGGGCTGCGGGCAAAGGACCATCCCAGCAGCCTAAACCGCTCTTCGTCAACCGGTGAAAAGTGTGCCATCCGCAGATGCTGCTCCCACGTCCCCGTCTTCTTCGCATCAATATCGTACCCCTCCAATAATGCTCCCAGGAAGAACTCATCATTCGCGCCACCGGTACGCCAAATGCAACTGTATACCGCAGGGGTTTGGTGCCCCAGGCATTTTGCACCAGCGTGCATATACTGCCACAAGTGACAGATAAAAGGTGTTCTCCCCCTTGGGTGCTGGTGCCAGAGACGAGAGGAACAAACCGAGCAGGTCATAGGGGCTCCAGTATGGCATGGGGGCATGCCATAGCTTTTTTTATCCTAAACTTCAAAACAACTTGCTGCTCTTCAACTTCAACTCAAGTTTTATCCCACTTGCAAAATCCGTGCTGGTCATGTTTGAGCTCGGAGTTTCAGAACTCGGCTCTGTTGGAGAAGAAGCTGTACAATAGAACCAGGAGTCAGAGAGTGGTCATGAGAAAATCAGAGCAGTATTGAGGGGTAATGCCCACCTTAACGCTTTTATTTTGTTCTTGGTTATTGCAAGTTTTGACTGTTGGTTGTTTTCAATTATAGCATTCCGGCGAACGCTGTACAATAGCTGGCCAGTGAATTCCCATAGCACAGAGCACGTGTCATAGCTGCTCCTGAATCTTTGCCTCAAAGCACAGCCAGCCTGGTTGGTATCCCAGGTGTGTGTCTGACGCAATCTAACGCCTCACACCTGGGGGATCTTGTAGAGACAAGGTGTGATCGATCTTTCCATTGAATTTGACGTTTTGGGATTTCCTGTTCTGCTGTTAGTCCTTGAAGCCCGGGGCGTGCTTGGGGCGTGATAAGGGCGCTTCTTACTTGCCTTATATTACTGCCACATACCATGTTTAAGGACGAGATCCTGCTGTCTCGTGATCTCGGCTTTATATACCTGAGAAGAGCTTCTTCTAACAAAGCTTCTTTTCGAAAAACGATGACAGCTCTTTGAAAACCTGCTAAATTTTAATAGGAGCGTCATGGTTGTTGATGCGTAGATTTTGATGTGGTAGTAGGTGAATTACACGGGAATATGAGGGAGCAAGTGTTAAAATAGTGTCTATGCCCTACAAATATTGAATCCTGTTGACAGTGAATGATAGAAGCAATCACCTGTGAAGATCCCTAACCATTAATGCCCTCTGTCCCCTAGTATTCATTATATTGATAATAGTATACAAATCTCCAGGAGTCAAGACCTCCCGGATTCCGACGTTGAGCATATTCCAGATGTAGAACTTCCCGTCAGCTTCAAACATCACACTATCTCTACCACTCTCTGGTGTAGTAGTCATGATCTGTTCAGCTCTCTCAAGCCCTGCTTGTTTGGCTCTCAGTTGCCCATCACTCTAATCGCTCTCCCAGCCCTCTTCGTATTCGAGGTAGAATGGATATATTGTCCATCCGTCCGAAACCAGCTCCTAGCATTAGGAGGTCAGTTGACAAGTCAGTAGTAACTCTGGATAATATACTTGAAGCGTACAGGCTTTAGCCTAGAGGTAAATGATTGAGATATGTTTTATTTGATACTTCTGCTTTGAGATCGGGAAGTTGTAAAGGATGGAGATTTTTAATATGACGTACATTGATTACCCTGGATGTTAGTGGAGCATTTGACAACGCCGCGCATAAACGCTTGATCCACAACATCCGGAAACGATGGGTCCCAATCAATGCTGTCAATTGGATAGCAAGCTTCCTACGCCACCGCATCACAGATATTTTACTGATGGAAGGTGCAACGGGCCAGTTTACTGCAGATACAGGCATACCCCAGGGCTCACCTCTCTCTCCAATTCTCTACCTGTTCTACAATGCAGACCTAATTGACCAAATACATGAGGTGTACCCTGGGAAAGCTATGGTCACTGGCTACATTGATGATATATGTATACTTGTCTGGAGCCGGGCTGCTGCAGCAAATTGTCAACATCTTGAGCAAATACACAAAATAGCAGAATGATGGGAAACCCAACATACCTCTAAGTTTGCCCCAGCAAAATATGGCCTGGTACATCTATGGTGAAAGGTCCAAGGTGTTCCTAGACCATTGAGCTCAACTGATGCTTCACTCAAAGTGCAGGGGGTGGAGGTTAAGCCTGTGCCTACCATTCACTACCTTGGCGTCCAGCTAGACCAGCATCTCACTGGCATGAAACAAACTGAACATGCCCAAGTTAAAGCAACTGAAATGATAGCAGCGCTTTGTTCCATAGCAGGATCAACCTGGGGTATCACCTTATCCCATCTCCGCCAAATTTACACAGCAGTCTTATGGCCGCAGATCACATTTGCCAGTTCCACATGGTTCATACAGGCTGGATGGGGCTTCAAGGCGGCAGGAAACACTGCTAGGAAAGCCATGGAATCTATCCAGCACAAGGCCCTCTACAGGATTGCTGGTGCATTCAGAACAACCTCTTGAGCTGCTTTAGAGATATGTCTCAACATCCCTCCTCCAATGATTGCATTGGAATGTGCAACCAAAGAATCATACCTCTGAATTGCCACCTCACCCCTTATGACCACCCTTACTGAGATACAACACTCTGGCCAACAGCCAGCACCAAGGAATGCAGGGGAGCAACACATGCGATGGGCCACCAGCCCAGACCATGACCCCCTCACATCACCATTAGAGTGGTGGGGACAGCGAATTGCAATCCCTCAGAACAGGCTGGAGGTTATACACCTACATGTGATCCCACCATGGTGGTCGGGTCTGGAATCCCATGTAGCGGAAACTAGGGAAACTGCCCTAGAAGCTCATCAGGCTGCCTTACACAGCAGCACCAACATTTTCACATACACAGATGGCAGTTTGACAGAACAGGGAGCTGGAGCAGCAGTAGTTTCACCACTGGGGCACCAGGCAGCTCGCATTGGCTCCCCAGCTACCCACACGGTATATGCAGCGGAATTCCGAGGCATAGAGATGGCGCCCACTCAAATATGCAGCAAATGCATGGAAGACTGAATGGGCCGCTTCCCCCCACGGGAACTCCGTCGTTTATGGAAAGAACACTCAAAAGCGCCAATGCAGCTATACCAAGGCTTACAGAGAGCTGCTACGTCAGTCCTCATTTAAATGCAAACTGGGAAGATTGCGCTGGCCAGTTACCTTGGTACCTTCAAGGCTATGGAATTGACTGGATGCTCCTGTGGATGTGGCCTCCAAGACACACGCCATGTTCTCCTCCACTGTACCAACCAGGCAGGACTCCGGATGCGCCATCTTACACAGGGTTCAAGGCGGGAGCTGGATTACCGGGCCTACCTTACATGGCCGGATCTGGTACTGAAGGCAGTGCGTTTCATGCTCAAGACAGGCCTCCTGAGCCAGTTTCAGACTCTACCAACCACATACCAAGTCACAACAACGGACACGAAGCAACCGGCAGCATAGTGCAGCCGAGGTTACGCGCTTGCAGAAGTAGGGAAGGAAATGAGATAGTATCCAACAAACCCATGGACCTTCGTGGCCATAGGAACAGCAGTATAAAAACAGCAGCACGGGACATACCACATGCAGAATAAAATATCAGGATAGGTATAGAAAGACGACGATGTACATAGCGACTACCACTACGGCGGCTTACCCGGCCGCCCCGCAGGACCTGCCGCCACTCGGCCTACAGGGCTGACAGATGCGTGTATGGACAACAACAACAACAATAATAATAATAATGACATACATTGAGTCATCGGTAAAAGTGTTTGGCACACGTCAAGTATCTAATCAGCATATGATTTCTACAGATAAACACCAGTGACGTTGAATAAATTTCTCAGTCTAAAAGCAAACAATACCATATACACAATTCATCTCTCCATCAGACTCGAAACCACTCCAAAGAAAAGGTGTAGGAAGAAGCTTCAAGTATGAGAAGCATATCAGAACTAGCATTGCGCTTTCCTGCATCCGGGTGAGATGCTATGTTAGATTGTATTCCACGGGCCAGTGAAGTGACACATAAGCTCTCGAGTGACAGGGCATGGTCTTTCAACAGGATCTAACCGCACCCTGTTCTTAGCCTGGAGACTCTGAAGGTCCAGCTCAATATAGTCTTTTACCAAGCGTATCTTTCAGCCTCGTAAAATGTGATAGTCTTGGGCGTGTCGGTGCTCTAAACAGGGCCGCTGGGAGACTGGGTTCAGGCTTGTTGGGCGAGTGAAGTGAAGCGGAAGGTTTCAAGCACCAACCGGGATTGTGCAGTATCTTTCGTAGGTGACGAACCACGTTGGTTCCTGTTGACGTTCTTTGCAGTGGACTGATCTTGACCCGTGAAAGCCTTCAAGCATGCCAGGACTTCTTCATTGTTCGGCTCAGAAACCCCTAGATTCATGGGAGAAATGACCAAGGGCAAGAACATGGCACTCTTTCCGTAGCATAAGAGGCCCAGAGCTGCATCGTCATTGAAAGCACTGCTATTTGCGGCACTATTACAACTCACAATAAATGCATCCCCCTTGAAACATTCAGAATGGAATCCGGTTTTCCAAAAAAAAAAAAAAAAAAATCGCATGCATTTAGTCCCCGGCTTTCTGGGTAGCGAAGCGGCATGCTTCGGGGACCGGTTCTGAATCCGAAAAGGAGAAACGGGGCTCTATCACGGGAGAGCAACGATCCTGCTGATGTCCGCGGCGGTCTGACTTCCACCTGTGGTCGAAACTTGGAGAGCAGTTGGCCAAGCGAGAGCAGAGTAGTACGTTTCCTTGGACACTATCGTCCTGCATTGCTGTAGAATTATGTCGTGTGTCAGGACATCTCGGGCCTGTGTGAGTACACCCTAGTGATAGACCATGTTCAATCTTTGCCAGATTTCGGAAGGCCTTTGCGACGGCCACTCCAGATTCGTAAATGGTTGAAGGGTTGTAACGTCTTCTTGCA